TGGAGCAGGGAATGTCCTGATCATTTATGTGTTACAGCTGCCCTGTGGGGAATAGTCTGAGGGAGCAGAGGAGAAGGAGGGGGAGAGGGAGGGGAGGGGGCTGGGCAGGAGTGGGTGGGGGGCAGGGCACCCACCTGAGTGGATGTGAGCGTGCAGTTTGAGGTAGTGCTTCCGCAGGAAGAACTTCTTGCATACCTGGCACTTGAACCTGCCCCCATTGCCGTGGGTGGGCAGGTGACGCCGCAGGTAGCGTTCGCAAGGAAACACCTGGCAGAAGAGAGCGTGGGTTTCAAGTCTGATTCACCAGGCCCCTCGCCATCCTCTGAGCCCAAAGGCCCCTTGTTTCCAGCCCCCCGTGGAGACACCTTCCTTTCTGCCTAGGAGGAGCCAGGGCCCACAGTGTCAGACTCAGTCCTTAGAACTTCATGGCTCCCACTGCTGACTCATGAGCCCAGCTCAAACACGCCAGAGCTTCTGCCCAGGATGTTCTTCTCACCCAGAGGGCCTCTCCCTCTTACGCTGACTTCAACTTCAAGACCCAACTCAGTGTAACTGCTTCTCTGAAGCCTTCCTGACTCCTTGGTGCCACGCCAGGCAAAGCGAATTCTGCCGTTGTCCACCCACATTCTAAAGTCAGCATTTCACCCTCTGAATGACAGCCCTTTGCTTACACAGGAGCTCCAAGAGGGCAGAGCGGGGCTTTCACTCCCCAGCACAGGGCCTGAGTCAAATGACCAACAAGTAAAGGAATGAACGGAAAAATGAACAAATAACTAAAGAAATGAATGCAAAGGTGATAAAAAGCCAGGAAACACAGAAGCCAAAATCTCTTTCCAATCCATTCATTCATTCATTCATTTGGTAGAGCAGTAGTCAAGGCCACAGACCCAACTTGCTCTCCTACTTATTGGCCCCATCATTTCCTAGCTGGGTGACCTTTCTGTGCCTCAATTTTTCTATCTGTAAAATGGAGATAATAATAGCATAAATGAGTCAATTCAGGTAAAATGCTCAGAACAGTGATTCTTACTCAGTTCATGATATCTTTTACTTGGATCACAAATTCCAAGTTCAAAATTAGGCTATAAAATTAGAAACATCTAGAATAAGACCAAAGTGAAACCAAAGCAGTCCTGGAAAACCTGCCATGTAAGGTTGTAAGAAAATGAGCAGAATGAAGAAGCAAGTTAAACACACTAAGGGGATATACCCAGCAAAATCCAGGGTGTGGGAAACTCTACAGGACCAATAGCTCAGTTTTTTCAACAAATGAAAGG